AATGAGTGTTGTATAAAAGATTAATTGTGACTCAGCCTAATTTAAAAAGAGACACAGAAGCCACAGACCCTCTGTTAATACCAAGATAAAACTGCAGTCCCACTTTTTCATGTTTTTTCTCTCAGCCTCTCAATTCAACTTCCTCAAAAGCATAACTGACTTCAATCCAGCAAATCTAGATTAAACCTGCCCTCTTCTGGTAGACTTCCAGCATTACATCTCTGTGTGTTACATAGTAATAACTGTTATGAATGAAATATGAACTACACGCGTCAATGGTGTCAAATAAAATCATCTTAATCTAGTTATTGTTTGTATACGAGATTGTTGTATTTCATCATAAAGTCATTCATATTATTCTTACATGTTGATTTTATGAAGTGTCTTATTCAACTGACTAATGATTGAGCTTGTTTTGAGAAATGCTGATCATTTTACTTACTTTAAAAAATTACACTTGATATGATCAGAAGGCCATTACACCACATAGATTTACATGGACTTATCCTATCATGCTGTACAACAGAGGAGGTGGGTTCTGAGACTGTGTTTAGTGGACACAACTGCTCAAGGAGTCATTTGTGATACATAGTAGTACTTAAAATAAGAAGTTGCTGTCAAAAGTTGAAACTAAACTCTAAGTAGACCTTGCAACAAAACAATGGGTGAAATAGAATGACTAAAAAAGAAAAAAAAATAGAATAATGGAATGGCCAAGTCAAAGCTCAGTTCTAAACTCCATAGAAATGCTGGAGAGACTTTTAGTAGACAGTTCAGGCAAGAAAACAACATCACTCAGCTAAAGCCGTTCTTTAAAGAGAAGTAGACAATTTCTCCAAGTTGATGTAGGAAACAAATGACAAGAAATGCCTGTAAGAAGTGATTTCTACCAATAATAACACTAGGATCAAGCAGAAGAGGCCAAACCTCCAACCTCTTCTAGATTTCTCTCCTTCTGTGTCCATAATAGGCATACTTTTTATATTTTCAGTACATAAATATACTTAAAAGCTACTAAACTGCCACTGGGGTGGTACCTTACATATCCAAGACATGGTACTTTCAAGGGTACATCATCATCAGTATCTTTACTATTAGTATTAATAGTAAAGATACTGGTTATGGTGTTAGTGAACCATAATCCACTGCAATCATATGTATTTTAATTGTTTTGACTCCACACACCCTGTCTTGTCTTCAGGCTTTTTATGTAATTGATTCATTTAAAACATTAAATTGTGAAAAGGTAAACATATGGATTTGGATACAGTTGGACATTGCGAACCTAACTCAGTCATGCAGATTTCTCCTGTTCAACATCCGGAGGATCCAACCCTTTCTCACTCGAGAGGCCACCCAGGTGCTAGTGCAGTCTCTTGTCATCTCAAGGCTTGACTACTGCAACACGCTCTTGGCTGGTCTTCCAATGCAGGCCATCAGGCCTCTGCAACTCATCCAGAATGCAGCAGCACGACTCGTCTTCCATCTCCCAAAGTTTAGCCACGTCACCCCACTGCTGTGTTCCCTTCACTGTCTTCCTGTAGCTGCACGCATCAGATTTAAAACCCTTATGCTTGCCAACAATGGACCAGCCCCTCCCTACTTGATGGCAATGATGAAATCTCGAACTGTACCACGAGCCTTTCGAGCTTCGAGTACAGCTCAGCTTGACCCGCCATCCTTCAAGGTGCGCGGAAGGCAAGCATCAAGACTGTTCTCTGTGCTGGCACCCAGGTGGTGGAACGAACTCCCACTGGCTGTCCGTACAGCAGAGTCACTCGCTGTCTTCAAATGCAGACTGAAGAAACACCTGTTTATTCAGCACTTAAATGAGCACTGAATTAAGTATTGATTGTAATGTATTGTACTGCACTTATGTATTGTATTGTATTGCACTGCTCTGTGTTTAACCTTCTTCTCTAGGTGTCTATAATGACTTCTGATTCTAGCAGTATCTGAGCTCAGGACTGGCTTTCGCTCTAACCTGTTGGTAACTAGCAAAGATACTTTCTCTGGATAGACGAAGCACTTTTTTCGCTCTGGATAAGAGCGTCTGCTAAATAAACCATTGTTGGACATTTGATGGTACATTTACAGTGTTTGTAACATGATGAAAGGAATTTTATTCATACAGTGCATTTTTCTGACAGTGTAGGTTTATGATATGGTCTGAACTCATAACTCAAATTTATCAACCACATTTTCTGTCTATTCTGCTAAGCAAGAGAGCAACATCTGACAGGAAACCCTAAATATAAAAGCACATCAGCATATCAAACAATCCGTTTTTGTACAGTTTAGATGGGTTTCTTGTCACTGTGGGCTCCACAGCACTGTAGTAGCAGAGAAGATACTGCAGCAGAGGAGATCAACAGATCCACTGTTTTGTTCTGAACCTTAGCAGAGAAACCAGTTGTACAGGGTTACTCAAACCCCCTGATTCATATATGTATAGGAGGTAGTCCAGTTTAGATGAGGGATATTGGCGATACCAATAAAGTCTGTTCACATTGCTGCTGCTGTATCTGCAGGAGAGGGAAACTCTGTAACCCACTGAAACCTGCTTTTCAGTTTCCATTGGATTGATTGAATAAACTTCATCTGATATAAAAGAGAACAACATTTTACAACCAAGCCAGGACTCTAAATCTAAAACCACTGTAGTATATTATACAGGTTGTCTTTTGCTGTTTATTGCTGAAGTCAAAATGTAAAATTTGAAGTATGTGGTGT